AAACAAAATGTTAATGTTATTTTTAATTCTTAAATTTTTAAAAATTTTGAATATTTTTAGTTTTTAAATTATTTTGTGTATTTTTTTGTTTTTAAACTATAAAAAATATATTTTTTTTAATTTTTTCATTACCTAATAGACATATTTTTAATCTTTAAACTTATATGAATAGGTTAACTAATAAATAACCAAAAAGTGTATTTTTTATAATTCAATGACTAAAACGATACAAAAAAAGTAATTTACGGGGGATTGACGTAAAAGAAAGACTCCAATTTGATTGTAATTAAATTTAAGAAGTTGTTTGGATTAGTTTATATATATATAATTGATAATTTTTTTTTTTGAATAAATTCACAAGAGGCCGGATTCGAACCGTTGCCTTGGGGGTAGGAAATACACTTATACGTGGCCTGACGTTACTGGACCCGAAAGCCCAAGTGCATATATAATTGATAATTGGTGATTGATATCTAACAATTAATAATTTTTTTTATTTATAATTTAAAATATTTAACTTATTTAATTTAAATTACCAGCTGATTCCTATTTAGAAAAAGTTAAAACAAACACTCCCTAAGTTACTACCTGCTGCTTCTTATGAAATCCACAAAATGAAACCTATTAACCCAGTTTACGGGGGATTGGCTTAAGACAACTGAAGAAAAGGAAATTTAAGTTACAGGCTTGTTTGCTTTAAGAGAGGTTTTTCTTGAGAAAGTTTTATGAAAATTGTTGGAAAGTTTGTTAAAGTGGCTAATTTTTATGAGGAAATTTTGTTGAAATTAATAACATTTTTTATATTATTAGGTAAGAAGTTCACACTGAGAAAACTTATTATTAGGTTCCAACTGAGAAAGTTTGGGTGTTCCTTAATTTAAAAAGGGTGGAAAAAAATTTTTACATTGGGAGTTGTCTAAAGACAAAATGAGATAAAATATAGCTTCTTTACATGAATGAGTATAAAAATTGACAATATTATAATTATAATGTTACGTAATATATATTATAAATTTATGATTATAGTATGATATTAAATAAGTATATATGATATGGTATTAAATAAATATTTATATATAGTATTATATGTAAATTTTTAAATAAAAAATAATTATATAATAATATATTATATCATAAATTTATAATATTTTGTAGTATTGTAACTATAATATTTTTATATAAAAATGATAAACTTCAGTTAACTTACCTCAAAAAGGTAGGAAAAACTTTCTTCGTACCGAACAAAATCTAAAGATAAGTATCTATTACGTAAAATTTGAGAAAAGGTTCAATAAAAATATAAACTGTTATTTTTTAAAATTAAGGATATGATACATTTCAAGATTTTAGATTAGATAGTAAATTTTTAATTTTTTATTTAAAAA